TTTAATTTTAGATCAAACCGATCATGTTAGATTGGGTTTAGGTTGAATAAAAAATTAACCCAATCCAACGTACACGTGGCCCTAGTTCACATGCAATTTAATTTTACCTCTCTCAAAAATAGTATTTCAAGATAATGCTAATATCAATACCTAATTAATGATATGATCACAAATCTCATTGGTGATGTACTTGACGTTTGACGGGTTCATGCACCCAGGTGCAGATCCAGCACCTGGTGAGCACCCCACGGCCGCGTGTGTTGGATCCGCCAGGAGAAAAAAAAAATTGGCAACAAATTAAAGTTTTACATTATATTATTGGTAAGTCATTTTATTTTTAATCATCCTTGTAGCTTAGCTGGCTAGAGGTTGAATATTCATATCTGACATCTAGTGTTCGAATCCCTTACTAAGCAATTTTTGTGCATTATTCTTATTCTATTTTACCAAATTTTTTATAAAGATGAAGACAAGGGGATTCGAACCAGTAAACTCTTGCAAAGATAATTGCCAACTTAACCATTGTGGAACTTCTTGGTTTATGTCACTAAATTTAACGGCCGCTCGGGTTGAGTCAAATTCCTGAATTCGCCCCTGCATGCACCACCCCCACATATAGATGTGTAAATCAGGACACCCAGTGATACTATTCTACGCTTTCAACCTTGCGTGAACTGCACGACTCTTTGTGATCAGAGGCCAAGTCAAAATTTTGTGTTTCGGGGGAGCTAACAAAAGTTGATGAAATTATGTTTAAAAAATAAAATAAAATATGTAAATAGCACTAAAGGCTGGAGACAGAAAAGTTCGATGTTAAAGATTGATGATGTATTTGCTAGAGATTTAAAGGTTAAGACTAATTACGCAAATTTTTCACGAAGAAAAATGGGGAAAAATTGCTGAGAATTGAAACTACGTTGTTTGCATCCACAGGGTAAAACTACGACCATTAGGTTACACGATTATCCAGCGTACTCAAGTTTTGAATTTAATATAGTTATTTATATATAATGGAGCATTTCTGTAAAAATAAAATTAAAAAATGTGTCGTGACAGTCGCTCCTCATGCCTCTTTCCCTAATTGCGACCAGTTAACTCGTTATATTTGTATGGCTTCATATTGGTGGAAGTTACATAATATCAGGGGTTTAAACATCACAATTCAAAAATCAGGGCCGAAGTTTCATTATTCAGAAATCAAGTATTGATTCAATAATTTAAATATTAAATATTTCACCCAAATTTGATGTCAATCCTAATTCCTTTCTCTCTTTACCATTTATATTCTCTCCCTTCTCTCTACCATAAAATACCACCGTCGTCATCTGCAGTGGCAAAGCTCTGAAGCAAACTCATCGGTGCCTATTCTATTTGTTTTCTCTCAGTGGAGGCAAGTTGGTGTTGGTCCTCTACTCAGCTTTTGTCGACCGATGCTATTGCGAATATCAACATCGCAACGGTATGGTGTGGTGGTGAGTATGGTGTGGATATAGGTGGCGGTATGATGTGGTGTAGTGGTGAGTCTGGTGTAGTGTGGTGGATCGTTTGGTGTGGCGATGTGGCTACGCGGCCTGATATAGGAGTTCGGGAGAGATTTGTAATAGTGATTGTGACTTTGGTTGCTTTGTGACCAAGTATTATGGTGAATTGGGATTGGGGGTGGAGTTTTTGGTGCATGTGACCAATGATATGGTCTGTGACCTTCAAATTTCGATAATCTGTGACTAATAAATTTGAAAATGTGTGACTCATGGATAAACTGTAGCTTGTAATTTAAATGATCTGTGACATTGAAATAATCTATAACCTACAAAATTTTTGATTTGTGATCATGAAATAATTTGTGACCAATTAATTTGATGATATGTAATCAATAAATAAATTTGTGACCTATAATTATAATCTGTGACCATTAATCGTATAATCGTAACTTTATTATATTTATTTAATAAATATTTTTAATTAATTAAATATATATCTGAATTTAAATTTTCAAACTATCTACCCAATTTTCGAATTGGTGTAAATAATATAACTGGATTATGAATTTTTCACCTTCATATTGCCCTTTAAACCCAATTTTGGTAGGCTTGTATAAAACTTTCTGGGCAATAAGGCTTTTATGTGGACTTTGTGCTGGGGTAATTAGGCCCATCACATTCCAAAAATAACAAATTAGAATAATACCCTAATTAATTAAAAATTTTACTCCCGTAATAAATACGCTTGGAACCCTCCTTCGACGTAAGTGGAGAGGACGAAAAACACATCAAGGATGCCGAAGATGGAGGTGACGCCATCCAGTGATTCTCCTATCATGATGTCGCCTTTAATCAAAATGTCGTGGCAATAATTACCCACAATTTGGCATGCCAGGCCTATGTTTTCTATCATTTGTCAAAGGGACGCAGCTGTATCATTTTCCTCTTTTGGTGTGCGGTCTAGGAAGGTTAAAGATGGGAAGAAAGACAAGATGGAGGTTTTGGTAACACTTGTATTTGTGTATGCTGAGCGTGATAGGAATTGAAACTTGCGCTAGCACAGGAATTTTTTTAAATCTAATGGCAAAGACCTGTAGGTTACGGAGAGAGGAATCAGTGCTTTGAAAAGAGAGGAGGAAGAAAATGTGTTTGCTATTCGTTCATACATTCAATTGTGATTCTTTTAGGTTATCTTTCTTGGTTTCTTTGGTCATGATATCTAAAAGGTGATTTACATCCAATTATCCAATTTGTTTGTTTGTTTGTTATGACTAGTTGTGTTTTTGTGCAAGTTCAATATTAATATGTTCTATGACTGGACCTTCATCTTTAGCTGAAAGATAATTTGATTGTGTTGAGATTTTGTTCTTTTCAAGGATCACTGCGTATATCAAGCAATCAATTCCATATCCGCAAGATGGTAAACGAGTTAGATTTGATAAGCTCGTGTATTAATGGCTATTTTCGGACAGAAACAAAAGCAAATATGAAGGTTGAAACAGGGAACGAGGGATTTGGATGGGAAAATCAACTGCATTTCTGTAAATTGCATTGAAAATGTTCAATAATAGATGATTTGTATAGAATTAACAAGCTAAAGCGATGGTGTTTATACATTTTTTTTTTAATTTGCATTTTGTGACACTTTCAATAAAAAGTGACATATAGCATGTTGTGCATTTTTTTATTAAAATGTCTCACACAATCTAATTATAATTGAACAATACATCTTTGACTAAACTTTTAATTTGTTTCTAAGAAATTCTTTTAGATGTTAATTTCTATAAATTTTGAGTGAAAAATATAAATTTTTTAATAAAAATGACATTGAGTGTTTGTCACTTTTCCTGAATTTGTGTCACTTTTTTGAGTGTCACTTTTTGTTAATTTTGTCACTTTTTGAGTGTCTGTTACTTTTTATTTTTTGTCACTTTTTTTTAATCTATGGAACTTTTTTTTTTAATTTATGTCACTTTTTTGAATTCTTCACTTTTTAAAGTTTTTGTCACTTTTTTAGTGTTTGCCATTTTTTTCAATCACCTTCTTGATTCTTATCATCTTTTAGTGATGTGACATTGTGTCACTTTTTTAATTAAAAATGAAAATTTTTATAAAAAAAAAAAAAAAAGTGACATTGCGTCACTTTTTAATATCACACAGTATCTTTTACTTTCAAAAACTTTTCATATGATTTTTCAAAAAACTTCTAATTTTAAGGGTGTTTTTGTTAGTTACCTTTTGCACTCAATTTTGGGCCTATAATCAGCCAAAATCTAACCCGTAATCCGTCACCCGCCATTGACATCAAATTTAAACCGATTTGTCGCCCGCCAACTGATGATTGTTAATTCTTCATCCACTCGTTAGTCGTTACACATAATTTTGAGCTGATCTTTATGCGATAATTACTGCATAATTTGTGATTAAAGATTCCATTTAATTAGTATTCGAGGGTTCGATGCTTCATAACGAGCAGACCACAGACAAAAAATGAAAGAAATCTGATCTGTACAGAAGACTGAGGCACAGGTTTTGGAGGTTGACCTAACCATTTCTGGTCGAACATGTCCTGAAAAAGAAAGTAGCTGAATATGGCCATTCCTCTGTTTTGCACCCTGCACTGGACAACTGGGAAGTGATATAATAGCTGTATTTTAGCTCTTTAATTTATATTACTAGCTGTAGATTGTGATCTTGATTTTCAGAGTTTTTTGTAGTATTTAAGAACTCATTTGCTTGTAATTTATCCAATTTAAGTGTGGGGAATACATTGAAAATATTGAGTAACCATACTGGTCACTTAGCAATTCTCCCATCTTCATTTTTATGACTTCACTCTGCTGTTTTCGGGCTAATTTAACTTATGTTTGTTGAATCTCGAGGTTTAGGGTTTTAAACATTATTGGCATTAATTTTTTATTTTCAATCAAAATCATGGTTTTCTATCCAATGGAATACAGAAATATCAAAAAAAGGACTAGATTTTCTCCAATTAGATCTAATGTCGGTAAAAAGGATTCTCAGGTACACATATCAATGATGTAACGATGACAAATCAGGTCGGTTTAGTCTGGTGTTCCATCTGTATGTAATGGTGATTTAACAGTGCTAATCTTGATTTTGTGCGTTTGGATCTCTGACTTGGGAATTATTTTTCTTAAGCGAGGAAGGAAGACGCAATCTGTGTGGAAACATTTGTATATCGTGGATTGCAACTACTCACCAGGTACAGGTTCATCAATCGAACTTGTGCAATTTAATATTGAATAGTTGAATGCAATAGAATTGATCTTTTACACCAAGCTGTGCAGTTTTTTTAATAAACAATTTCTTTATTAAATAGTAGCCGAAGGATTTAGGGGTAAAGTAATCCTCATCTGGTGCTATTGAATGAAATTATCAGTAATGGGCAATCAATTTCCCGGACGAGACTTCATTTTTTCTGACTTTGTTTAATTTTATTTTGCATCTGTGTAGTAATTAACGAAATTTGAAGTTAGGCATTAACGAAATTTGAAGTTAGGCTAAAAGGATCGATAATTTACATATATGCATGTGTTCATTAAACAATGTAAACAAAGGATTGGTACCGGTGTAAGTGCACAAGTACATGGATTTACAACAAGGCAGAGATTTGAACAAGATGATACCTAAATTATAAACAGGAATTACTAAGAGAATCATTGGTAATGGCTTTTGAAATGATTGGTACAAATTTGAGATGATTCGTTTTTTAATTCTCTTAAACCTTTTCTTGCTGGGATCAGATCAGAATGATGGGACGATTCCATAGCCACCTTCTTCTATTAGCGTTGATGAGAACATCTGGTTGGCTCTTACATCTGTTCTTTTTGCAAATCGACCTTTGATCCTAGGTCTGGTTTCTGCATAGGCCTTCCTTGATGCATACCTGATGGTCTTCTCAAACTTCCTCGCCTTCTTCTTCTCTCTGTACCTTAACACTCTGGCTTCTCTGTCCGTTGGAGAAAGTTGTGTTGGCATTGGGATAGGAGGGCTAGAGAAGAGATCAATGGTCCCCTTTGGAGGTCTTGGGTGGGAGACCGAAACCTCACTAGTTGTGGATTCTGGAACAACTCCAACATCTAAAGATGAAAATGATACCTGATTTCATCACCAAGAAAAAACTTGTGCATTTAGCTGAAAAAACTTGCACTGAGTAATTGAAGAAAACAATGACGAATGGATAGGACTGGATAGCACTAAGACACGCAGAAACTAAATCTAGTTTATTATATTGTCTTGTCTTCTTTAATACTACGTATGAAGTATGCACTAGGTGAAGAAGAACTTACAGTGTGAGAAATTGAAGCGGGATTATCATAAACATTTTTCGAGGCCTCGTACTCCCTTCCCAACTGAAAACTATGGTTGTAAATCTGATCCTTACTCTTTTGGATTGGCACAACATTGTCACTGCCATAGCTCTTTTGAGAAACATCGTAAGGTTGCAGTTGATTGTTGTCCTGATTACTGAACTGGTTGTCCTGATATGAATTATACTCGTCAAGGTCCAAATACTCGTCAACCTCTCCGCCAAAGAACCGTCCAATGTTGTTACTTTGGTTGCAAATATTCTTAACATGGTTGAACAAAAGCCATGAAGCTGCCTCGTCTTCATCTTCTTCTTCATGTATAGTTTGATCTTCGTCTTGAATCAAGAACTCAATCTTGGCTGCAACCCCAGTAGGCCCCATTACTAATCCACTGGGGTAAGTGGCTGACGGAGTACCATAGAGCATTCCGGGAATCGGCAAAATTGGGGCACGTTGATGGCGCCGTGCCAAAGGGTTGGCTGAGTGGATGTCCGAGTCACAGGTTGTACATAGGGACGCAGCATCAGCCTTACTTAGGAAGGCTGCTGGAGCACGTTCACAGGCCTCACACACCCACATGCGCTGATGGCGCGAGGCCTCAAGACTGGTTCTGTGGATGCGAGAGTCGCAGCCAGTGCAGAGGTACGCCGAGTCAGCCCTGCAATACATGGTGCAGACTGCTGATTGGCAAGTGTCACAAATCCGGGCCCAATGGCTGCTGGTGTTGCCACCATGTACTCCTCTACTCTTTTCCTTTAACATTTCTTTTTGGTTACTCTGTTTTCCTATTGAAGCACACTATAACATTTTGAGGCCGGTCACTGGACTTGAGGGGTTCATATTGCAGGCTGAATTCATGGGACGACACGTGGCAGTATAATAGTGAGCATGAAAAGTAGTTTGATAATTTTGTGGTAGGCAGAAGTCTTGGTAGGGCTTGAGTGGGACCGGAGACTACTGATTCCTTTCAAAAACATCAACGTTCAGGTTCGAGAGCATCCAAGTTGTCATATTGCAATGGCATCAACATTGACAGTTACTGGCTTTTAAGAGTGTCCCTGCTTGTGTGCAAGGTTTGGCTTCTCCTAATATGGGAACAATTTTAAGAATCATTGACCTTTTTTCTCCAGGTTAGTCATCGCCGGGTGGACAATTAGACTTCTAACTGTGCACAAAGGAAATGGAATTTTTATGATCTTCTTTTCGAGGCTCAAAGATTAGTATTATACAAAAAAATTACATGTAAAAAACTTGATCCTTCTGAACCAGGCTCGAGGATATGCTGCATGTGGTCACCGTCAAGTAAATAAATGGCTGGAACATTAGTACAACAGCCCTGGAAAAGTCCTTTTTGTAATTTCACACACACACATATATACGAGGACTTTGAACTGCAGGACGTGGCTACACACACACACACATATGTGTGTGTGTGTGTGTGTGTGTGTGTGTACGAGGACTTTGAACTGCAGGACGTGGCTGCACTTGAATCCATTAATTCATGAATCATATTACTCTAGCATGAAATTGAAAGGGAATGATGAGTCAGCTGAACCCACCCTATGAAGTAATACTGGCCAATAGAATAGCTCCATGTGAAAATCAAAAGAGGATTGGTATAAATTTGAGCCACGAATTGAGACATGACTCAACAAATCTAACTTGCTGTTCACATGTGAGTATGGTCCAGTGAACAGAAATCCATCCCTTTTAACCCCCTCCATGAGTGCTCAAATGAAATGCATATAGACAACTAGTGACCATCTTTCCTTGAGTACATCAACTAGAATTATTAGTTTCGTGACATGTTTAGTATGCAGGAGAAAACATTATACATATTTGATTATGTTCAATTCAACCTACCAAATTTACTTTTACAGTAAGGGTCCGTTTGATAGGCCAAAATTTTCTAGGGAAAGTGAAAAATCAATTCCAACTTTGAGTTTTAAGGGTGTTTGATACCATTTTTTTTCATGGAATTACATTTTCCAATTTTTCTTGGGAATTGAAGTTTTCTTGGTTTTGTTCCCGGTTCACTGTAGCACCTTTTTTTTTCTTTTTGCAGTGAAAACAAATTCTAAGATTTATTGTAAAAAAAAATATTTCTTTTTAATTGACAATTTTCATGTAAAACAAAGCCAAACGAACATTCAAAAATAGATGATTTTTTTGATTTTTTAATTTTTTTTTGTTTTGGCAATAGAAACAAATTTCATTCTCAATACCAGTAAATTTTATCCCTTTAATTGACAATTTTAATGTAAAACAAAGCCAAACGGACATAAAAAAACACTTTAATTTAAACATTTTCCATGTGGAAAATTATACCAATTAAACACAATAATTTACAATTCTCAATAAAACAATTTCTCATCAATTCAATTTCTTGAAATTCGTTTTCTTTCCACCCAAATTTCACATTTGCAATCAAACGAACCCTAAGATGAATTAGATATTAGAGTTATATCAAGTAAAGCAAAGTTGTGACTACTGCTTCATCAGGTTCTAAGTATATCCCAAGAAAAAGTGTCATATAGACTAACAAACTGGGGTGGGGTGTTCAAATTCATTGAATCAAATAAAAATCTGCACTATAGAGAAAGCCTAAACAAATTTACAAGTGTGTCAAAAGTTCATGTTGACAAGTTTGAGTAAACGAGATAACACAAATGTAAATATGGTATAAGCAAAATAATTAAAATGTAGTCTCTATATAGAATATTTTCCTAGTATTGAACTGAGGATGGTGACATAGCGCTTTTATCAATTATTTATATTGATATTGTGAGTATTTTATATTTGTTGAATCAAAGCCACATTATGAGACTATTGCATTTTGGGCCTGTTTGAATGGGTTTGGCTGGTCCAAAAGCTACTTAAAATCACACTGGAAGTAATAGAAATTGGTGTTTGCATCTGTGGCTTTATTGTGCCATCTAAGCCCTTGCTTGATTTGATTCTTGAGAATCATTTCTCTTTCACTCTCATTTTCAATTATAAATTCTCGAAAAATATATATGCCCTTGTTTGAGCCCCATTTTTTGGGGAAGAATGAATTTTTGAATAGTGTATTGATGGAAAATGTGTGGTTAAAAAATAAGGAAAATTTTTGAATTTACGTGTAATATTATTTTATTGAATAATGTGTGATTGAAATGATGTCAAAACACTGTTGAAAAATGAATTTTTCCAAAAGAATGAGGCTCAAACAAGGGCTATATATATATATATATATATCTCCCAGCCATGTGGTATGTGTATGTTGTAGCAATGGAGAGGAGAGTTGAGAGAAGAGAGGAAGC